CGCCACTGCAAGCTATGCTGTGGCGTCCGCAGTTAAGCACAAAAAATCAAGCAAGGGGTTGAATCCTTGATAAATTTCCCCTTACTTGTATGAGCTAGTATTCGATAGAACCTTGCATGGGGTTTTAATTTTGTAGATTATCCCATCTTGTAGTATTTTAAAGTTAACTATCTTACCATTGTTCTGATTTGTCTGCAGTAACAACCAGGTTTTTACTTTACACAAAAGTGGTATGCCACTAAGTGTTCCGCAACACTAAGAATATTCTATTACAATATTTTGTGCTTGCCTCCACCACATTTTGCATGCAGTGGCGTTAAAATCTATAATTATATCAAAGTAAGAATCACACAAGTGCCAGTAAAGGTATTTCCACGACACAAAGCAAGTATCCTTGATTATGAATTACATGCACACTTCTTTTTTAAAATAAAACAAGCTTGCTAATCAAAAAAAGGTAAGACACAGAGATAACATAAAAGCGAAATCGAACAAGGTTTAATAAAGCGGAAACGGATAAAAAATTATGCTGGTTAAAATCACTTAACACAGTTCACATAGATTTAAAAAATAAAATGTAATTATTGCTCAATTAACAATATGCATACCTATTTTAACGGAAGATAACAGATCATGCACTGAAATTATCCTAATTTCTCAATTAAAAACATGCATACCTATTTTAACAAAAGACATCAAATCATTCTATAAATAAATTCAATTCACTGACAACTGCAATGTCTCGACTAATTCATGATTTCTTCTGGGGATAAGAAATAGCATGCCAACAACACATTGGTATTTTTGGAAGGGAAAATAATACTCGTTATGCGTGAGAATTCCGAGTAAGCTAATTCTATTATAATGTCTTAGATTTAAATTAATTCATTTTCACTGTATTTTTGAAGTTCAAATTCAAGCTTAAGAGATGAAAGCTTAATAGGAATTTAAATATTATTAAAAAATTTAACTAACAAGCAGCTATGTGTGAGTTAGGGCGCATCATGAGGATTAAAATCAAATAGGAACCCATACCCGAAAATGTCGTCGTGCATGACTATGGTCGTTTTCCTTTTATGAACTGTTCAGAAGTACACTAAGAAGCAGGTTATAACTTTGAACTGTTCAGAAGCGCAAGAGAAGCAGTACATTATAGAAACACATCTTTAATTTCGTATAAAGACATTTCCGAGTAAGGGTTTCTATGACATCTTAATCCTCGTGATACGACCTAAGTTTGTCGCAATATTTGCTTGGCGACTGCTATGCACATCGTTTTTAAACAGGTGCATTCGAATAGAAATAGATTAAAAATTTCATCTAAAAAACAGTAGATTGAGAGGAAAATTGATTGCAGACCTTAAGCCAGCGATATGAAAGTATCTAAGATTTCTTACGAAATCTCAAGCAACAGAAATCAAAAACAAAATTGTTCCTCAGTGTTATATTACACAAAATACCTATTTTCACAAAACTATTTCTTTGCATTCAATTTAAAATTAAAATAATTTCAAATAATAAATTTTCTTGCTTGATAGGTTCACTGGTACATTAATTCAAATTTTGCCCCTTTGAACAAAAATGGATGTTTTCATTCGAAAAATACAGTCATTTTAAAGGTATCCGTTCCAATGTAATTTAATGAAATGTTCAGGAGACTTATAAATTGAAATAAAAAAATAACATATCAACATATAAAAAATAACATACGTTATCAGCAACCTTACAAGTTGTATATAAAAGACATTTTAAGAATCAATTTGCTTCAGGTCGAAAATGCTCTGCTAAAATTATCGTACTATATAGTAATGACATTTCTTGTCGAAATGTAATAATATTTCTGGTTATGTTAACTAAAATATGCGGTATTCAAGAAATTCATTTGGTATATTTTTGTTCCTATTGTAACGGTATACCGAAAATTCCGCTTTTAAAATTATAGTTCGTATTACCACACATTAAGTGAAAAATACAGAACTAAAAACTGAACTTAACCAAATAAAGTGATTTTATGCCATGCTGTAAAGTATCCTAATGAAGTTACAAAATTTTTCCAAATTTAACGAACTTTAAGCTCAGTTTAAAAACATTATTTTAGTATCAATTTTTGAAAAAAAATCATTTTTACAAATTGATCAATCATTAAAAAATAGATAATCATTAATTATGAAATCATTGAAAAATCTTTTAATTATTAAGAAAAGACATTTTTTATCACTAAAGGTCTTCGGTAAAAAAGACCGCGATTTTTAGAGTTCCCATAGAGCCAGAAACATAGTGCATGTTTCCCTATTCCCTTAGTTTTGATCATACTTTTGTCTCAGTGTGTGTTTCCCCGCATATTACATATTTACGACCATTACAAAGACTGAAAACTCCAAAGCCTTGACTGAAGTTTCGGAAACACGTGCGATACAGAAAAGGTAATACATAAACATCATTCAACACCATTTTGTTTTTATTCGTTTTCTTTTGTATTTACATCCAAAAACTACATGAAGGCCCAAAGTTTTACCTAGAAACAAAGTTATGGAGACACGGGTAACATCAACGTTGTGTGGACTTATGTCATCTCGTCAAATTTATCAGATGCATCTCGGACACCCCCATCTGTTCCAGCAAATTGGAGCAGATTTGTGGTAACACCATCAAAAGGAAATTTGTGGAATTTTTTTACTTATTTACCTCATGAATGAAATGTAGTTTGCAACAACTTTCTGTAGCTCCATATAGCGTTTGCAACCACGTGTTTCTTTATGATATTTTGTTCTTTTTGTTTTGCAAATTTAATCACAGTTTTTTAATTACCATGTATATGTGCCAGATGAAAGTTTGTAGCAAATCAAGTAATGATTATATATTCAAATGGAAGAAAAATTTTGGTAGAAAATTTTTAAATTATAATTTAACTTTAATTGGTTGCTTTTTCTAATTATTTAAAATTTAATTTTCAATCTATTCAATTTATATTAGAACACTTGCTAGTCTAATCTTTTGGCAATGAAGGAAGTTTTGCATTTTTTTTAGTAAACTATAACTGCACGCATTGAATCCTAAAAGGTTATTGCGTTTTGAAGTTATTAATCAAAGCTTAAGATATTTATTGCAAACAGCTTGCATTTAAAAATTTTAATTACTCAATAGAAATTACTCTTTATTATTTCAAAACTCTCTATACATTTCAAAAAGTATCAAATACCATTTATTTTACTATCATTGTAAGTAAAAGAAATATTTTAACATCTGTAATTTTAAATCGTGAAATACGCAAAATATGAATAAAATTTAGCTTTTACAATAGAATGTAATTCTTAAATTATTCTTTATAAGCACACCATTGTTACTTTCTGACACATTATTCTGTATAAAAGGATTATAATTATTATTTAACTAAGTACTTCAACACTTATTTAATTATTATAAATAGTGATACATGAATTTTTATTTTTACGTTATCAACTGAGGAATAAAGGTATTATTAAAAATAATTAAAGTGTCTGATCTAACAATTATTTATCATTTTTCCAGATTCTTTGTGATTTAATCTTTTAGTATGCTCTTATAATATTTTGCAATTTATTTCCTTGCTTTAAATACAAATAACTTTGGAGCAAATTAGAATCAATGAAACGCAACATTTCTTATTCTCTGTAAAATAAACTACAAAGCTGATTTTATTTTCAATGTGTTTTAATTTAAGTCATGTAGAAAATTAATTTTCGAACTATTTATTTTACAAAATTATGTTTTGTTCTATGCTTTATTGAGCTTAGATATTAATTTAAAATCTGGGTAGTTATTAAAAGAAATGATGTGTTTACTAAGATAAACTTATATATCTCCAAGACTTTAATTAGTATTACTTTAATACTTAAGTTAAATCTCAGTCATTTTAAAATGTCCTTGTAATTTGGAGGATACTAATATTTTAAAATAAACAGAGATATCTTTAAGATTCTCGAAAATGGATTTTTATTTTACAGTAGTGAGCATTTATTTTTCTCTTTGTGATTTAGAGAAGAATTAATTACAATCTAATCAATAATCTGTTAAAAATAAATAAAAAGAAAATGAGAAAAGTACCTGATGTTGTGCTATTATTCTAGTCTATTATAGTCATTCGTAAATCTAATGAAATCAGAACTTTCTAGTAAAAAAAGTGTTTTTTGTTACATTTTCTTTCCATTTCATATGGAATTTTTGTTACATTTACTTTCAATTCACTATTCAGAAAAGAATAATATTATATTAGTTTTATAGTTTAAGACTATATAGTGAAAAAAAATATGAAACAGTATTGTACATTATACAGTCAAGTACAGTTGTATATTGTATAAAATTATTAGCTAAAAACTTTCAGAGTTTAAAAGTGCAGTAAGTATAATTTTTTTTATGATTTCACTTTCTGTTTGCTGTTTAAAAAGCGTAATCACATTATAAGCTTTAACTTGTTATACAAAAAATGAAAGGAGTATTTTGCATTGTATTATCATTCAAATCATTTGCATACATAACGGCATCAGAAATTTTAAAAAATTCTAGCGAAAATAAAATTGTAAAAAAAAATCGAGCATGTTTTTTCTAGTACCGTTAATTTTAAAAAAATAATTACAATCTATAAACATTGAAAAGTTATTCGAAAAGTAAATATTAAACGAAAAAAAAAATAACGTGCATTGTATATTTATTGAAGTCATTTGCATATCTAATGAAATCAAACGGTAAAAAAAAATATTCACGACAGTGAAAAAAATGTAGCAACTTTTCAAAAACTTGCTCTCAAATTTGTATTCAGAAATAAACTAATTATAATGTAAGCATTAAACACGTATTCAAAAGTAATTAAGGAAATATCTTACGTTGTACTGCTATTCCAGTCATTTGTATACCTAATGAAATCAGAAGTTAAAAATTCCCAGCCTCAAAAAAAGCGAAACAACTTTTCGAACGAAAGAAATTAAATCTTTTTCCTACTTTTCGATCCTTCACGTCTGATTTCAGCCAAGCAATACTTGACTTTTTTTGACACGGCATTCTATTGACCACCTATTCTTTTTTTGTGGAAGAAGAGCTTAAAGAAAAGACTATTCCTGTACGTGATCTGGATGCTTAATCTTTTGTAGGGGCTTTGTTTGATATTTCCTGAGCTGTGGAAAGAATACTAAATCTACTCTTTTGCGAAAAGTGATCTTAATGTGTCCGGAATGCTCCCGAAATCTTTATTGTGTGTTCAGCAGAGGGCAAAGCGAGTCATGCTCCTCCACCCCATCTTTAACATTTTGTTCCTTTATGGATTTGCTGAAAGTAAGTCAAATTTATTTATTTATATAATATAAGAAGGCAAAAGTCGCCAAACACTTCACTATCTATCATGTATAAAAAGATTTAGAAATGCAATGTTGAAAGTTCTATAAATCTTATTTTTAAACTGTAAGATAATATATTATAAAATTTTATAAATATTATAATTACACTAAATGTTAAGTCATAAATCTTTAATAAGTTATAATATTATCACTGTAAAAAATTTCGGATCAAATTATAGTATAAGTTACCGGCATTTTGGGTGAAATTTTTTTTACATTTTTTTGCAGCTTATATTTGCAGCGGTATAGTATACCGTAAAATTTACTGTAAGATTTATTTAATAAGAGTGATTCAGTGATTTTGCGAAAATTATTACGGTATATCAGTGTTTTGTTCCGCAACATATACCACAATAGATTTTACGGTAAAGTGCACTGGCACCCTGACAGTCGGATCTATTTATCATAATTTGATCCAGCATTTTTTACAGAGTATTTGTGCGAATAACATCGAGATAAGGAAACAGGTGGACGCAACCTGATCCCTTAATTTAACAATTTTGGGAGTGTTCACCCTTGGATGTACGAGTAGGGTAAGTTAGTTAGTTCACTGTCAATTTTTCATGAAGATTTAGGGTTTTTTCATAACGAAAATAATGATAAATCTAAAAAAATGCAGTTCAAAGTCAAATCACTTACTCACTTCTCAGTCTCTGATGTTTTAAATTTCCTCCTGGTCAACCAGGATTTTTAAAAAAATAAGTGCTCGGACTATTGCGAAGCCAAACACAAAATAATCTTTCAATTTAATTTAAGAAATGCATTCTCACATTAAGTGCAAAAAAATAAGCAAAAATATTTTAATTTGTAAATAAGTAATTCCAAATGATTGTAGTATTGGACGTTTCTAGAGGCAAATTTCATCGTGAATTTTGGCTTTCTTCTAACTTGTTGAATCTCGAAGACGGTTTCAAGTCCTGATTTCAATCTTCGCACTGGGGCAGATTGGTGCATCGAAACATGAAGCTGAGTTAGTTTTAGTAAATATAACTTTACTTTACTTTTATTTAGAGAATAAATCTCACACATACCAAGACGGAAAAGGGTTAAAGCTGATAAGAAAATCATTTCATTACAGTTTGTTTACAGAAAAATGAAAACATTTACCTTGGTGATGTATTATCCAAGTATATTTTAAGTAATATACTTGGGGTTTGACCATTCGTGTAGTAGTTTTACTAGTTACATCATAAAAAAGCCAAGCAAAATTGGTTTGTACCCTCTTTTACTCAGAGATTTTGATAATGACTAGGCTGCAAGAAATTGTTTAACGTAATCAAACGTCATCGAAAAAAGAAAATTTAACCATCATAATTTGTTTTAACAGATACTATGCTGACTGTAGGAAAATTTCGGGATTACCTTAATGAGAATATTTCTACGAATACATCATCATATATTTCAACACACTAATGCGAAATGCTTCAAACAAACCGCAAATTATCAAAATTAAATTTATTATTTGGAGAATAAAGGGTAGTTTATGTCAGGTTTATATCAAATGTGATATTATTTTCTTATGCATTTTTTGATCCAATTATAAGACTGCCTTTTTACTAATTTTTTAATCGAAATAATATTGTATTGATTTATAACGAACTATCATAAACCTCTAACAATAATATTTACATTGCAATGTGGAAGTTCACTAAGTGTTAGTTCATAATTTGGATGTGATTCGTCAAAACCTACTTTGAGTTATCGTTTTACCAGCGACATTGGAGTCTTTTTGATGATTCATTAGGATTTCTTATGCTATTTAAAAAAATATACGTAAACAGCAAAACCATAGTATTTTTTTTCACTTTTCCTAATTTTTCTCCACGTAAGCTGTTTCGAATGTCTTTCTGTTGTTTTCTGAATTAAATAATCAAAGAAATACTTAAATCAACCAAATGAGTCCATTTTGGCCCTCATAAGAAAAATGTTAATTTCTGAAGCTTCATATTTGTTTTCTAATTTTAAAAACAGCAATTTTAGTAAAGATGGTTTATAGAACAGAGATTAGAAACCAACATGTTAAAATAAATATCACGCAATATTTTCCATTAAACTGTATAGTATCTTAGATTCAATGCCTAAAATAACATAGTTGATGTATTTTTTTATTACGAATTCGTTATTGCCCCTGAAACCAAGGGTATGCTGATTCTAAACGGTTATATTTCTTTGAATCATTTACAGGAAAAAACTGTTGATTAACGGTTATTGTCATGTAGATCAAAATACAAATTTATCGCTCTACACAAGCAACGTAACTAAGATTTTTTCCCAACTGAATATAGTTTAAAAAAAAATTGGTTGAACATCTTTATTTGTACAAGTTTAAAAAAGGCCAACTGAGTTATAAATTTTTTTAAAAAGTGCATTGCTCTAATTATGGAATTAAACCTAAACTCTGGGCATAGCAGAACTACTGACTTATTTTTAATAACTCTAAAAAACTTGCAGATGATTTTTTTGAGTGTGAACTTAAACTCTAATTTGTGAGATAGTATGTATGGACATGAGAAAATGCCCTTCTATTTTAATTCTTTCTTCTTCGCCGTGACGTTTATCTTTCACACTGCGAAATGAGAACAGAAAACTTACTATGTAGGTGAAAAATAAAATAAAAATGCCATAAACTTAAATAGTAATTACACAAATGTGTTTGCTGATTACAGTATAGAGTGGAAGCTGTAACGTTTTAAAATAGTACAAAATGTAGCATAGGCAGCATACTAGATGCTAGATTGAAAAGAAATTCCAGAAAAAATATCCAATGGTATAGTAATAGCATTTCTGGTAGGTACAGGAAAAATACGTGGCTGGTAATAAAAACCAAAACATATGATATTCGAGAACCTTTTATGTGGAAATTTTTATGTTCATCAGGAAACGGTTTACCAAAAATTGTGGTTTTAAAAATTACAATCCTTAGTACCACACATTTAATTAAAAAATACAAAACTGAAAAGTAAATTAAAACCAAATAAAAGGTTTTCACGCCATGCTCCACGGGATCCTAATAAAATGTTCAAATTTTATCACATATACTGAATTTTATCTCATGTTAAGAAAACATATTTCACTGTTAATTTTACCAAAATCATAGCCAGAGCACTTCGGTAAAAATTACTGAATGTTTTGGTGTTTCTATAGAACCAGAAATATTTCAAATCTTACCCTATTCAGATAGTTTTGACCGCACTTTTTTTTCTTAGAGTAGGAATTATTATTCAAGGTGCTAAATTGGTAGATGGCAAACGTTTCTTGACATTGCTGCCCTCAATGCTTGGATTGTCTTCAAAGAATCCTTTGTCATCCTAATCACACATAATGAATTCATGTTTGCATTTGTTGAATAGCTATGTATTATTTCTTTGCTCATCAGATATCCCGTAATAGATAGATTCTGTCTCTTAAAAATAAACATCCTTTTAAACATCACCAAGCAGAACTTCTGATAGTCATGAAAAATTCTAGAAACCAATTTGAGAATGTTTTTTGTCTTATTCACGTCATGCGGTTTCTGTATTCGTGCGCGTTAAGGTTTAACTAATGACGGAACTCAACTTGAAAAATTTTATGTGCTAATCTCTATTCGTAATTTTTGTTTGATTTCATGTGACTGTCGAATTTTCTCTTACTTCGGTGAAAAAAAATTTCTGTAATACAGTATTACACAAATCTTTTATACTGTCATGTTAATAAGAAAAACAACGGGGAAAATTTAATATTTAAATACTCTTGCATATTGTATCTTTAACCAAATTCAGCAAAAAAAATCATTTATTTTTGAATGAGGGATCAAATTGGCACCAGAAGGCAATTAAGATTAGTCTAATATCTACTTGTTATAATGTTAGTGATATTGATTGCAATACGAACTTAGTAATAAAATCCCAGTAAATGGTAAAATTTTAATAACTGCATAATTTTAATCACAATGTGCTTTTCCTTATATAATTTTTTTGACCACAGAACATTCTATGAATCTTTCAAATCACAGATCACGTTCACTTTATAATGCCCACATATTTTAACATTTTATTTCAATACATGGATGCACAGATATAGTTGTGTTCCTCTTGAACAAATAGATGATTAAAAACAATAATTTAATAAACCTGGTTTAATTCGAAATGATGAATCGAATAATTACGGATATTACTTATCCAAATGAATTAAAGTATTGAAACTATGCGAGTTTATTTTAAATACATCATTTTAATGAAAGCTTTCATTTTCAAAATGTTACTATGGCAATGTATGAATTTTAAAATAATATTTTAAATAGATTTTTTTTTATCTTAACCTAGAAATGAACCACTGCAATTGAATTGAAAAATGAGAAATTTTCGATCCTAAGTAGAGTGCATTATGGATCATTAAATTACCATTTTCGATTAAATAAGAGCCTTAAAAGGATAGATATGCTCTTAAAAGCATATAATAAACTAACTGAAGCTTAAATAATGCATTAAATTAATCTTCATTTTTAAAAACATAAGTAAAAGAGAAGGATTAATTTTTTTCTTATTATTTGAATTTATTTTAGCATTCTGAAATATTTTTGAAATAAAGGTGAATCAAACCGAACATTACAATATAAATTGCTTATTAGGCTTTAAAAATTTAGAAGAGTGAGTAATATAGTTGGATATTCATTGCTTTTGCTATGACGCTTATTTTGCTTTTACAATTCTATTAATATTTAAATTTATTTAATAATATGCATACACTTTATTATTAATAAAGCAAGGATTGTTTTATGTGTACTATTTAAGGAGACTGATGATTAATTTTCAGATTCGCTATACGTACTCAAAATGTCATAATGCCTTGAAAGAATGTCTTTTGTTCCATGGTTGGCTTATTTTAGTCACATATCTTAACATAGTAAGAAGCTATTATTAATTTCATCAGTACATATCACATATTGTCTTGAATTTAATTAAGACTTTGAGTCGACATTTATAATTCGAGCATTCAAAAATGTATTGTTATTAACTTAAAACTAAAATTGTCAAGATTAGAAATGCACAACTTTATTTTTAATTTATACTTATTTAAATCAGCTATTTACTCTCCGGGGTTATGAAATAAATGTGTATGTGAAAAAAATCGTATCAGTTCTTATGTAAATAGCGCATATGTGAATATGAATTGTTTATTTGTAACGTAAGCACTGATAGGATTCAGTGAAAGCATTAAAAAGAAAAGAGAACAGAACCACGACTAAATCCAATTGAAACACTTAAACTTTTTTTATGTTAGCATTTTATTGAATTCTACGCTGAGAACCAAAGAATATATTCAACTTTTCTGATCAATTATAAAAAAAATTGATAGCATTATTTTGAAATTAAAAATTTAATTTATTGGCAGAATATCGCTTGATTCTCATTAACAGTTCTAAACTTCAGAAGAAAAAAAAACAACAACACCATATTGAGAATTGGCTCTTCTGAGAATATTATTATACTTTAAAATAAATGAAGAAAATGATGTACAGGAGAAAATAACAGTTTAATGATTAAAAATAAACGTTATTTGAATTTCTTGAGAAAATAATTGACTGCATCAAAAAGATTTGAAATTATCAGAATTTTCTCGACTGAGTTATTTTCACTAGCTGAAGAGTATTTTATTAAATATGATACCTACGGTCAATTTTTTATAATTATTATTACTATTAAAATTTTATCTGTGAAATTCTAACCTTTTCTCACAAGTTCGTTGCAAAACAACATTCAATCACTATAGAGGTCATCTAATGAATGCATGAGTGGCAACGAAATTAGAAACAAAAATTTAAATATCAGTATCAAAAGCCAGTAAAAAAGATACCAGAACCAGTATAGCAATACTGAAAAGTTAAAACTTGGTTATAACCGAAAGGTAAAATCCGGTAAAAGAAAACTTTAAAACCAGTTGCCCAATACTGGAAATTTTTAAACCTGTATGAAACCATATTGAAAATTTTGATTAAAGCTCTCAACAATCAGTTATCCAGAAAGAAATAATACTGGAATTTTTGAAGTCTGGAAAATAATAGGAAATATTTAAGCAGTTAACAGTATCATCTTAAATTCTTAATGACTACGCACTATTCCAAAAAATAAGTAAGATGTTTTTTATTTTGATGTGGGTCGATATTGTTTTTATTATATATTAGTTTCCGATAATTATTTTTTCATTGGTTTTGATAAGGATTGTAAACATACATATCGAGTATGATTACCTCTGAATGATAATGATACTTTTTGCTTGCTTTTTAATATCTCGAAAATTACAGATCGATGACGATTCCATAATTTTTTTTTATTATTATGATTTTTGTTATTTTATTTAATAATAACCGAAACATTTATGAATTAGAAGACATCATTTTAAATAATATAATTTTCTAGGGCAAAATACGAAATCTGGAAGCAATTGGCGGAATAGTTTATGAGAAATCAAAATTTATATGCATAATTGTTTTTTTAAAAATTGATAAGAAAAATTATTATTTTTTGAAAGATAATGCATTTTTGTATCTTATTTAATTTAAAATAATGCCTTTGCTAATTAATTTTAATATTTTATTCCAGCCTCGTGAATCATTAATATTAAATCCTAGTGCGCGAAAATCCGATCATTAGATCAAAGGTGTGCCGTTCAAGAGAGCTCCATTGTTTATGCGCAATGTAGAAGTTACCTTATAAATATTTTTAATTTTTCATTATACTTAACTTCATTACATAAGTAACTCCAAAATTTTTCCATGACATAAGTAGCAATTACTGAATTTTTGTATTTGTTTTTCTTCACAAATATGCATTTTGACATAATTTACCTTTACAATAAACAAACTACACATAAATTTAACTCCATTCATAAAACCCTAAAAGAAAAAATGGTATTTATGGTATTTTTTTATTTTGATATATTATCAATTTTATTGAAGTTTTGTAAGTTAATTCCGTAAGGAATATTGAAAAAATAGAACATCACACACTGCTATAAATTATTAATGAGTTCATTTGAATAATCATTAATAGATTTTGTAGAATTTACCCTAGTACTAGACATTGTAGATTTTACTTTAATAGTTATTTTTCTTACATGTATTTCAGTAAAATACAACATTTATATAAAAGCAAGTTAGAGAATGCATATTTTATGCCAGTAACTAAAAAAGGATATTTCAGGTAAAAGTATAAAATATGCAAATTACTGCAGATTAATTTTCAATTCGATATTCGATCTTGACGTGGTATACAGCTAAAGAAGACTGCGATTTCTTTATTGAAATATTGCTAATTCATATGTAGCTTAACTTTCAAAGTTTGAACGGAATAATTATTAATATCAAATTCATATCTCAAATATTGTCGAAAAATTTAAGTTTGAAATAGAATACTTTTCAAGCTTAAATAACATACTTAAACTTCTGTACTAAAATTTAATATTTATTTTAAATTCATGAATACCAGAATCAGTAATCTTAATTTTTAGGGCATACTTAATCGAATGCTTGGTTTGTTTTCTGAAGAAAAATATATGTGGAAGGTATGTTAAGAAATAAAAAAAAGATTTGAGAATCTATAAGCTTATGAAGTGCTTGAAAGTCTTATGATATCTAATCAAATTTAAAATTTTTTTGAAAATTAAACATGAAATGGGGAAGAAAGCGAAATTGGATAGATTTAAAATATATTTATAGCTTTAGCATTATTATTTTACTGAAATTTACATCAAAAGATCATGAATGTATTCAACATTTTTTCTTAAGAAAAAAAGAAACAAAATTGGAACAGAGATTTAATTTTATACCAATTGATACTAAAAAAGAATTTCACAGCAAAAATTTAAGCAGCTTAAAAATTAAGTTTCAAATTTTAGAAAAAAAAACACCTCATCATTCATGAAAATAAATGTAGAGAAGTAAATCAATAAGAGATAAGTGACTACTGATTCAAGATGAAACTCTTATTTATAGTATCACGTTAATAATTTGTTGTAACTGCACACGGATGAGAAAAAAAAGTTATATCGCCGTACTCTATAGCTAATGACATTTATTGTAAAAAAGTAAAAATGTGATTCTGATTAATAAAACCTAAAGATACAGTTTTTAAACCATTTACCTGCTAATTTTTCCGTTCTTGTGATAAGGGTTTACCTGAAATTCTGTTTTTTTTTTAATTTATAGTTATACCTCACATTCAGTAAACAAATGCAAAACTGAATATTAAAATTAACCAAATAACCAGTTTTTGTGTCATGCTCTATGATATGATAAATTTATAAGATTTTACCATGTTTACCAAATATTATCATATATTATAAAAACATATTTTATTGTTATATTTACTAAAATCTCTACCATAGCGTAAAAAGTACCAAACTTTTTGACGTTACTATTGAGCTAGTTACATGGTATATTTCTTTCCATATGCTTGTAGTTTCGACCACACTTTTTTTTCTCTGATTAGTTACTTTTCGGATTTCTTTCTTGTAATAATCATAATATTTTATTAGAATGAATTAATCAATATCAATAAATAAAAATTATTAAAACCAAAACCGGAGCTACTGCTCTGAAATGTCACTGCAAAAAACATTCAATCACTACAGAGTCCAACATGGTAATTGTTTATTACACTGCATTATTTGTCAGGTACTGAAAAAATACATAAAACCCTTAGTTAAACATGATTTCGAGCTTTGAATCAACCGTACATTCGAAAGTTACTTTCGAAAAGTAACGAGTAAATATAAAAAGTTATAATTTTGAGAAGTAACGAATAAAAAGTGTAAGTTCTAATGAAGAAAATTAACGATTTTAAAGACACTTAATTTAAATCTAAAATTTAAGGTATTTTAAATTTTTATTAAAAAATGTAGAAACAAAATATACTCACTTTTTATATTGAATTCCTATGGATGATTCCTTATGCTGAATTCCTTATTTCTGCTTACTTATTTGGTACGTTTTAAAAATTGTAAGAGATGAGACTTAACTAAACGGATTAAGTCATTTAACGTAAAATTAGCTCTCTCTTTTAACTTTTATTTAAGTTTTAAGATTTTAAGAAAGATTTTATCTTTATGTGAAACAATTTCAGACTTTACGGATTTGATAATGGATGGATATTTGTCAAATAAAAATGCTATTCACTCTTGTATGGAATTGTGTCATCATTCAAATTTAGTAATCTTACTTTTCTTTTAAAAAAGGAAGCCTTTAAGACACTATCCGTCCTTTGCTCTTTATAAGAGTTGATTATAAATAAAAGATTTCAATCTTTCTATTGTCTCAAACTAAACTAATGGTGCTTCCCTTTTCATACACGACGACTTCGTCAGTTGGCCAAAGTCATTGTGCATGAAAAGGACCCTTATTTTTTTTTGAGAAAAAAGTAACATATTTTTAGAGGCTTTGCAAAAATTAAGCATAACGAAGCCTACAAACCATATCAAAGACACACTAAATGTGCAACTTAAAACCATCCACACTGAGTATTGGCAATAATAAAGAGCAAACAATGCAGATGAATGGAAAACAGTTATAATAAAGGTGGGCAGTAATACTATTAATATTCGATTAAATTATTTACCATCTATATATTTCACGTATGTTCTCAATTCAGGTTTTGCAGAAAAACATCCTGTTAGAGGTCCAAGTTTTGTAGCAGAGCCTCCAACTAAAGTCGAGTTTTCAAATTCCTCTGGTACAATTATACCTTGCACTGCAGATGGCTTACCTCACCCATTAGTAACATGGAAGAAGGCAAGTGGTGAACTGATTCAAGACCTAACAGGATTAAGGTACGCTCGGCATGATGGGACATTAGTGTTTCCACCCTTTCTTGGAGAAGAATATAGAGCCGATGTTCATGCTGCTGTGTATCGCTGCGAAGTTTCAAATGTAGCTGGAATTATCGGGAGCAGAGAAGTCCATGTTAGAGCAGGTAAAGAGATATAAACTCTATTTAGTATATTTCCAAATGCTTGATTAAAATCGGATTTATTTTGTTAATAGGGAACATTTTTTTCTCTGTTGCAAAGAGATTTTTTTTAACAGTTCGTGTATATCTGTATCGGTGATTTCAAAGCTGCAATCTGCTTCTACCTTAAAAGTGCAGCTTTATTTATTTATTAAAAAAACATTTTTAATTTTATTCTCAGTCAAAATGTACACTGTAAAACATGGATGCTTAAACGACACGAAATATTCTCCGTTTTTGACGAAACCATTTCTTGGTATATGCTCTGATCAAAGATTTCATCAAAATGACGCAATAACTATCGTCTACTCCTCAAGGAAACAAATTTCGTCAAAGATAGCAGAATATTTCGTCATTCTATTTCTTTAACAAATAAAAAAACATCCGTGTAGTGAGGCACTTTCTCATGAGCACCATATAGGTGTATCAACATCAACCTAGCAACACAATGTAACTAACATTACTAAACATTAAATACTTATAAGTACTTTTTTTAAATGTGTAAAAATATTATTTTTTTTATATATTTTTTTTAAAAAAAATTCATAAATATATAATATAAATTATTTTAGTATTTTACCAGTATTTTACTCAGTATTTTAAAGTTTTTTCGGAGGAAAATCTGATTAGAGCATGAAATAAAGGCACATTTGAAATTGAATTCAAAACAATTTCTTTGAAGATTTTATTCGAATGTAAAAATTCTACCATTTTTTTTCCTGAAGGTATCTACATACAGATAGCTGAATAAATTTGTTCACGTTCAGCTCTGCCAAGCCGCTTGCTTATATTTTTTCGAAATGGCTTGCTGGAAGAAAGGATATAAAAAGAGTATTCATAAAATAGAAAATGTTTTTGCACCTCGACGCGTTTTGCAAATGATAGCTGCCGAGGATAAAATGAGAACTAAAAAACATTGGATCGCCAGCTAAATTGTCTCTTTTGTGAGAAATTTCCTTGGCATTTCTTTATGCGAAATAAATGACTGGAAAATAAGTGAAACATATCGTGGTGCAACACACAACAAAGATTTATTTTGCAACTAATGGCCTGTATATATGCAAATAAAAAAGTGAAGTACAATAAAACATAGGGTATAATGGATCCTGTCAAGAGTTACATTTGTTAAATGATAAAACAGAAATAAAACAATATATATATTTATCTCAAAAATACTTTGTTAGGTATACATTACATGTGAGGATTCTCTTTTAATAAATTGTCTGTGTGTTATATTTATGGATTTCTCTCTTTCTCCCTTTATATATATATATATATATATATATAGCTAAAAGAACGATAAAGGCCACTGTCAACATTAGAACATTCTACGGCTGAATCGTTCGAGCGGAATGAACGAGAAACGAAATGGAATTTTCTGATTGAATAAGCGTTAGTCGTTGTTTTAATCTCGAAATTTCGAAATTAATCAAGAACACGCTGCTCTAACACGCTCTTTAGAAACATCTGATCAACTGGAAAGAAAACCGGTAACCAAAAAACTACGCACTGCCCAAGCTTACTCGTCTGAGTCATCAAAGCAACTGGAAAAAAGATTGCTAACCAAACGACTACACACTGATCAATCTCGTTTGTCTGACACATCTGAGCAAACCGAAGTATGAATGGAAACCGATCAGGAACTCACTTCTCGATTCAGGCACTGTCAATACGCTTTATATCTTATAGCATTTCACTATGATTCTACTATGAGATATAGTCTGCATCCAAGCGTCGTCATTAGAAAAATGGATAAATTAAGCGTGTTTTATAGCCTTCCCAAATTTAAAAATGAAACTGCTGGAATTTGATGTTCTGGAGGAGAAGGGAAACTAACAGACTTATTTTCTCCAACCGATTCGTTATCAAAGTTGCTATTTTCTCGAGCAAGCCAATCGAAAAATTTCTTGCCGAATATACGTCGGTACAATACGTATTTCCAACCAACTTCATTCGATGCTACACATATCATCTGCGACAATTACATACCATCATTCAAAAAGCACGGACAAATTTTCCATTTTTCCAGACCACTTCTATCATTGACTGAGGCAGATAAAAAATTCCTACAAATTTATTTCTTGAGTAACATTGATGATCAAGTCAATCAACGTTGTCAGTTAACTAGACTGATTAAATGCCATTGAATTATTACAAAGTTATTAAAGAGAACAAAACATCTGCATGCCCTTACAAAAGATACTACAATGCTCCAACATAGGATGAGGTGGTTATTGCTATATTTGGCGAAGTATTTACCCCAGGTTCTTAATCGCAGAAATGTTAGTATTTAAAGAGCCTAAGTTAGTATTTAAGATATTTAAGAGCCAAACATCACGCGAAATTACAAATATCTGCATTGGCTCAATTAACGTGCAATATTAGCAGCCCAAAAAGTGCGGTGTTTATAACATCAATAATCAACTTTTAAAAGAAATTCCAGGTAATACAAGAACATATTAGTCCATTGATACTGAACTAGATCAGCATGCCGCAGCACGTATAAAAATTTAAAATTGGCGAATCCACCATTCTTTAACGTAACATCACCACCCAGACTTTGCAACGGTACGCGGCTTTCAGTGTAAAGAATAATGACCAATATCCTCGAAGTTGAAATTCTAAATGACAAATTCAAAGAAGAAGATACTCTGTAGCCGCGCTAGCCAATGATCCCGACGCATATGCCATTCAAATTTAAGCGTTAGCAAAAACCGTTGGGCGAAATTTATATATTTTTTTAAAAATGTCTAGATTTGCAATAAGTTTTACACCAGATTTATGATATTTTATGCAAATATTGAAAATAACATTGAAAGTAATCGATACAAGATTCAAGTTTAATGCTTGATTTTCCGGCAAAAAGTGTTCAAAAATACATGTTTTCTTTCGTAATTCATTATCGGGTTTCCCAAACCTTTAAAAGCTTTAAATTTTATTACTAGGTATAAATAATCAAAAGAACTAAATATCTTATAAGTTATGAAATAATTCTTTGAGAATTTCTTCATAAATTCAATATAAATGTCAAAAACTGAAAGTATCTTTCCCATTATTGAACGGTAGTGTATTCAATGATGCATGGTATAAACTGTAAAATATTACGGTATTTAATACCTTAATTTGATCCATAATATTTTATTGTGGTTAAAAGTAAATGCATAACTTACCTACAATTTAAAAGAAGCCATTATATATATATATATA